TCCCCATGATGCCCCCCCTTTCTGGGTCGTCCTCGTCTTCGCTCATCGGGACGCGACGTTTTCCCTCGCATTACGACCCACCCTAAAGTAGCATTGCGCTGTGTGCCGGCCGATTGCCCGCACTGCCGGCCGCGCCGTGGCCACTCCGCACAGTGGGGCAGGAGGACGGTGGGGACGGCCAAAACTCCAGACGAGTTTTGAGCTCCAGAGTCGCCAAACGGTACTCGAACCGAACCTGTGGCCCCACCCATCGATTGCTCTCCGAACGAGGAATCCATTAATGGGGTCACACGTTCGGTTTAGCTGAGAATGCGTCTAGAATTTCGGCTGCCCCCAACTGGTCTTCTGGCCCACTGTGGGCGCTCATCAGGGCGTCGTGACGCAGAAAGAGACTCCAATCCAGTAGTGTGAGACTCTCTAGCCCACTGCGCTAGCTCCGCTAGCTGCGCTGTGTCGTGCTCAGATATGCATAGAGTTATGCATAAGAGATGCGCGCCTAGCGGGGGGGCGGGGCGTCAAGGAAGGCGCGGGGAGGGGGGCGGGCATGATCGCATATGAGGTTTAGTTCGTTGGCGGCAGTAGCGCCCGCACTGTCAGCCCGGATTAGCGGGCGTGGCAGTGGGCCGGTCTCTGAAAAGAGCTTCATTCATTTTCTCGAGAATCTTCCCGAGATCTAATCTAAAACTAACAAAAAGTTTCAGTCGATTTGCCTTGCCCGTTTTTTGACGGTGTCGCGGAGGGTTCATAACTCGATGGCGACTCGATGCGACGCGTCTAGTGTTGCAATTACCAAACAACCCAGCCATCCATTCACGTGGCCATTCGGTGCACCGAGCAAAGCGCGAGGCAGCCAAGCCAGATCCAACTCAATAGAGCGGCAGCCTTGGGCGTCGCGTCGTGTTCGCAGCGACACTGCAAGCCGTGTTCTCAGTGCGTTTCGGTCCGCATTTCATTCCCTTCGACCGCCAGGCCGTGTGGAGAGAAACAGCCCAAAGCCGGAGAAAGAGGTGTGTATGCAAATCCAGTGAAGGGGCCTCTTGAGTGAGGTCCCACGCCGCTTGATTCATCATGTAGCAGGGCCCTGAGACTGAGTACGCCTTGGAGCCAATCAGGCCGCCTGCGAGTGCCCGCTGTTTTCGTTTTCCATCATGGCTGCGAGCAAGCAGTCGCTCAGCGAGGACCCTAATCAAAGGTGATTACTCGCCCAGCCTCGGCCAGCAGCAGTGATTCCGAATTAATTAATATGGATACCGTTGGCCGCCCGCGTGTAGTCCTGCAGTGCGGGCCCTTTGCGTCTGGTCACTCCCCAGCCCTTTGCCAGATTTCGCTTCCTCCTCTCTACCTACGCTCTAATTTCTCGCCCCCTATACCCCCCTCCGCCTCCCGCTTTCGGCGACCTCCCCCTTCCACCAAGACGCAATTTGTCAAGACTAAGTGGAGTTAGCATCCAACAAGGAGGCCCGGCTTATTACATCTGGAAGCAATGCAAATAGTTAGCAATTGTAGCGCGGCGCGAAGCCTGTCGCATAAGTCGCCTTTAATTGTGGCTTCAAAATCAGCCATATTTTCTGCGGTTTCGATCCAGGGGCTTGCCACCCCAACGTGATTATTTGAATTGAGTATTTTCTCCTTGTTCGCGAAACAAAAGACAAAATTTCTTGAAATTAAAGAAAATAAAAACTAAGTCGGGGGTTTGCTCTGTACTGCCGATAAGACAAGACTATTGCATGTTAAACTGTAGTGAAATATCGCTTTGGCCGGGCCGCCGCCTCCCCGCCACGTACGCCGAGGGGAAGTCTTGGGCGACGTGCGAGCTGGAAGCGCTTTGTCGTGGAATTATTTATCCGGAATGCTCCTCACTGCTTTAACCGGAAGCCGGGAATCGCGAGACTCCACCCGCCTCGTTGGGTCTCGGCTCCAGAGATGCGTCGGTAAAATGAATCATAAAGCATACCGGTATTCATGAAAAGAACAACTCGTACTTCTTGCCCTTGGTAAAAACCGTGTGAAGTATATGGAGTACATGTAAAGCAAGAGTTGTTTTCAATTCGAAGGTTCAAGGTCACTGGCAAATCCCAGCTCAAGAACACACGTTGTTTTGGGGGAGGGCCTGCTCAAACTGCTCGCAGGGCTGTGTTGGCGGCCGTGGGACGGGCAGCTCGCAGTGTAGGCACGCGGAGCCATTTGGGTTGCAATAATATCGGCAGTATAGAATGCATTGAGGAATATGATTGAGGGAAGGGAGTCGAGCCGAGCGGAGGAGATGGTGTGGCCGGGGCGATATTTTTGATCTGGCGCGGCGATAGGCCGACGGGGGCTGGCGGGGCTGCCACCATGGCAATAAAGGTGCACTCCGGACTGCGCCCTCCGACCCACCGCGTGCCCCACCGCGCCCCACCGCGCGCCCGCCCGCGCCGTTCCATCCCGTATGGGGGCTGCATCACAATTGCCAATGCCATATTTTCGATTTTAATCCCCTGACGTCGCAGTCTTCTGTACGCGTGTGAGAGAGAGAGACAGCGTGACCCACGTGCGTGTGCGTGCCTGCGTGTGTGTGAGTGTGTGTTCCTCCGCTGTCGTTTGGCGCCGCTGGGCGACACGTTTCCCCCACCCTCCCCGAATATCAAATGCCCGATGTAGGGAACGCAGTGGAGCACTGTGTGTGCGCGATCGTGTCGGAATAAAATGCCCCCCGAAAGTCCGCAGGAGAGCGGGCTGCGCGCTGCCGCCGGGCGTGGCCATGCTCGGGACGTGCTGGGCGAGGCGCCCCGCTCGCCGTGCTCGCCGTGCTGCTCCTGGGGTCGCAGTGCGTCGCACCCCGCAACGACATCGAAGCCCGTCCAATGGAGTGGCCGCGTCGCTGTCCCATTCATTCGCCCCTTCTTTTCCGCGTTCCATCTCTATTCCTCCAGCACGACGCTGTCCCAAAAAAGAAAAAAAATTGAACCAATATGACAAAAAGGGTGGAGGTTCAAGTAAAATTTGGAACTAAATTTTCCGTCAAAATTTTCCTACATTGAAGAAGCGCTCTGGCCGCCTCGACCCCCCTCGGGGCTCTCGGACATTGGATAAGCTAAACAGGAGGGGTCGCCGATAACGCCGCGTGTAACGTGCCGCCCGGAATTTCACAGCAAGTTAAGCCTCGGCCGGTACACTTTAAGTGTGGCGGTGTGGAAGCACCTAACTTCCATCACCGGTATCCCCGCAAGTTTGCCCCCGCACCCGCCTCCTCGCCCTCGCCCTGGAAGGCCGAGCCGTGGGGCCGTGGGGGCGTGGGGGCTGGAGGGGCGGCACTCCTAACGACTAGGCTAATGCAAGGATCGCACTTGATTAAGTTACATTACTTGGAACAGCATGCGTTTCATTATGGCGGTGTGTGTGTGTGTGTGTGTATGTGTGTGTGTTGTCTACGTTGACGCTGATGGTGCAGGAGCAGACACCGCCGCAGGCTCCAGCGATAACCCTAGAAACCACTAGGAAACTTTCAAAGATCAGAAATGAGCAGCTCCGGTTATTTTCAGAGACGGTGTAGCTTATGGATGAGAGGTTTGTAACAGAGATCACCGTCCACTTCCTGCAAAGTCCAGCTCTTCAAGTTTGCGAGACAGTTGTGAAAAGCAAAGGGTTTCATTCCAGTGAAATGCACCTAGTCCGAACGATCTTCGCATATGTGCCAGATTGATGCTGGCCCCGTGCTTTTTGCAGTGTTGGCTATGAACCCTTTTCCGCGGTCCTGCGGCAGTCCCTCGGCCTTCGCGGTCCGCGGGGCTCGGTGGGCCTGGTGGACCATCCCTGCAAATCACTCGCCATATCTCCGGCCGCCTGGCCGGGCCGGGCCACGCCGCAGATCCACCCCCGCGTAATATCGCCTATTTTTCAAGCTTGGTGGCGACGCGAGGGTCGCGCGGGCTTCGAAGGGCGAATGGGGGCCGTGCGAGCAATATGCACGCGGGCCAGAGCACCAAAGGAGTGGCTACCGTTCGGAGATGGAGTGGCAACAGGTAACGGAGGCGTTAGGATGACGACATACCTTGTCTTGCCAAACCCTAGCTAGCTCAGAATGCTGCAGGACTCGTCAGGAAACCGACGTTTACTCGTCGAAGAGTATGCCGAGGACACAAGGATTGTTTCCTGCTTTTGTCCAGTGAAGTGCAGGTTTGACGAGCACCTTTTGGGACCAGAAGTTGAAATGTGGCTGAATATAGCGCCCGTTTTCAAACCCGGTCGCACTCCAAACTGCTATTGGCGTTGGTTGGTCGTTGTGTCCAGCTCCTCGAAATAGCACACCTACCGCTCGGAGACGAAACGCGCCCCACGCGGTCATGCGAACGGCACGGCACAGCCATCGAAATCCATCCATTTCCTGGACAATGCGGGATTGGTTTTGTTGCGAAAATAATTACGGCTCAGGGAGCCGTGTCAAATGGGATGCTTCACGGGCCAGTGAGTCACAAGGGGAGTTTTCCTTTCGCGGACTGAAATGTTTCGATAACGGGATTTAACGTGAGCTTCATTTCAAAGGCTTGGCCTGCCGACTGCGGGGCGGCGGCAGGGCGCGGCAGGGCGCGGCCGACCCAAGGTAGCCTCGGGGGTTATTTTTTACCGTCTTTATTTCCTGAAGGCTTCTGAAGGTGTGTCTCTCTCGGACTGCTGGGCCGTCGCGTGTGGGTGCGAGAGAGGCGGGCCGAGGAAACGGGATTTCGGAAGCGTAGGGAATGAAAGGCCAGGACGATTGGCGCCGAGATTCCTTTTCCGTGACTTGTTGCGCCCCTTCGAGTGCCCCTTGATGTACGTGCATTTCCGTATTTACGCGAGGAGACGGTTCGTTTGGCACCGCCAATCATTAAAGGGAAAGGGAGCTCTGCGAAGCGACTGACGTGTGAAATTGTTTGCCCTGTTAGAATTTTCTTTGCCTCTTCGTCTTTTGCCGTTGGCAGACCTGCAGATTCGGTGCCCCTCCAAGGCCAGTTTAACTAATCGAGTGTGCCGTGTGTTCGCAGGGCCCGACAAGCACGAAGTCAGCCGTCGGCACATAACGAACCAGCAGGGCAACTGGCAGCAGGAGTGGTACTCCGGCACCGACGACTACCACCAGCGCCTGGGCGAGGGCGTGGGCCCGGCCGACAACAACACCGTCACCAACGTCACGGTGCAGCTGGGAGGCTCGGCCTTCCTGCACTGCCGCGTCCGCAACATGGGCGAGCGCACCGTCAGCCCCGAGGTGAGTCCACCGACCCGACCCAACTAATTGGCGTCACGCACAATCGCTGTCTCTTCCGCGCCGGCAGGCACCATGATGGAAGCACTGCGAAGCGCTGTGAAGCAACGCCAAGCAACGCCGAGCCAAGGCAGCGACCGGAAATGACGTCGCCAAAAAACAAGGGGAGGAATACCGTATCGACTGGTGCGTTTCGAAGCGCGAGAGGGGGGGCGTACGAGAGAGCTGAGATGATTAAGCCGAGGGAGTGTACGCCACATTTTTGTATCCGTCCAGGTTATCTACACCGTGTATCTGCAGCCTCTGCTATCTCTCTCACGCGAAACACACACGCGCGCACACATTCGCGTCACTCAACTTCGCACATACGATGCGATCGAAGTGATAATTCGTGACTGGGGCGCACATGCACGGACCGAGGGAGGGAGGGCGAGCGCTGCTGGCCAAGCTGGTGGCCTAGTTGAGACGGGTCCGGTCGCCATGGGCCGCCATGGGCGCGCCTGGCGCCCGGCCATGAGGAATAGTAATGAGCCGAAACTCACGCGACCTGATTCCCCCCACTCTCCTTCGGTCTCACTCTCGCACCCCCCGACCTTTCGGACGACAAGGAGCGGCTGCGCTGGGGCACGTCTGCTGCCACTCTGAGGCTCCGCAGACTTGAGGCTCCCACAGCGCGTCGGTGGCAACTCAAGGGCAAGGTCGTTTGGCGCCTGGGGGCGGGGGGCTGTGGCGGAGGCGAGGTATCGAATGAGGAATGCCGGCGTGGGCTGGGCGTCATTAGTAAGGCGCCAAAGTCGCGGGGAATCCAAAGCCAGAAGGCCCAGATCTTGTAATTACAGCCGAGGGATTTTTCCCGCCCATCTGGCACGAGATGTTTCCCTCGTTTCTCTCGCGTCCACGGACCCGTCTCGGTATCCCGCTCTAGGACGTTGCAGGCAAACCGGTTAAAGAGCATTGCTTAGTGGACTTCAAAGAAGACCAGGTTGCCGAGTCGGGCGTGAGCGGAGCGGTCGCTGGGGCTCCGATTGGACCGTCAGGGATATTGACTGATTACCGACAACGTCGAAAGCCATGAGGAATTCACCCTTTGGTCTCGCGGAGGGAGATGTGCACAAGTTTGTTGGCGCTTCCGGGTTCCGGGACAACTTCCGGATAAGACAAATTGTCGATGAAGACGGCTTCGGCAGACTATCAATCGCCTTTGCCGCGGAGCGAAAGCGCGGGTTCGCGGATTTGAACGCCAGCAGCGGGACTTTGGACTAATTTACTCGCGTCTGTCGATATTGTTTAAACTGTTTCTTGTTCCTTAATGCAGGAAAGGCATATTACAGCAGTGTGCGGTCCCGGCTGTACAGACGAAGGACCCTAGCCTAGGTGGTGGAGGCTGACACGGGGTGACACGCATGCAGAAAGATGTGCTGACGGACCTCGCAGTGGTGTTCGACCCCCTTCCCGCTTCTGCTGTGTCCTCCATCCAGTCTGCCCACTCTGCTTGCGAGCCTCTCTTTCCTTTTTCTGTTCTGTTTTTGCACCTCCTTCCCTCGACTTTCTCCGTCCTCCTTGTCCCGCCTAATTCCTATTCTCTGCCTTTTTCTCGTACAACACGCACAACTTTTTCCCTGCTCCTTGGCGCCGCTCCAGACGCGGGTTTTACAAGGGAGGAAGTGAGGAAATGGAGCAGGCCGGGGGAGGAAGGGGGAGGGGGAGGCTGGGGGGGGGGTTGTTGCGGGGAGTGACTCGGGCCGCGGTAAAGGCATGGGGGAAATGGAGTAAAAAATTTGGGGCGCACGCACTCTGACTGCCCACGAGTTCATTTACTTTTCCTTTGCTCGCGGTTTCGAAACTCCCACCGCTTCCATCCGCGATTTCAACTTTTGATCATTATTTTCGCCCCCCCGCACTTTACCTTGCGAAAGTCGGCGCGGGCGCCGACCGGGCGGAGCCGGGGTCACCGTCACCCCGCCAAGCGCACCAGACGCACAATGAGTGGGCACTGCAAAATTTGCGTCGTCGGTATGAAAACGAGGCTAGGTCGGAGCTGCCACGTGCTTCTGGAAAAGGTGCCAAGGGTCCCTCCGACCTGCTGCACCAGCTTTAGCTACTCGCCGGGCGCCCTTCCCCGCCACGCCGTGTATCCCGCTGTTTCACGGCCAGCCACGCATCAACGGCTATCTGCGACAGAAAATCTGAAAGGTGGTGTGTGTGTGTGTGTGTGCTTGTGAGTGTGTGTGTGTGTGTGTACGTGCGGCCCACACAGTGTGGGGCGACCCGCGGCGCAGCGGGGCACTTCGCGATGCGCATCGCCGGCATGGCCCCTCCCCCTCTTCCCGCAGGGCCTGAGGCGGCCTGAGGGTGCGACTGGGGCGGTCCCCGAACAGCTTTAAGGGCGGCGAGACGCGCAGGGTTGCTTCGCGCTGCTCCGCGGTTATGTCCTTCCCCGGGAGGCGTCGTATATCACGACAGGACTGGATGCGGGTTGCATGTCTGCCGGGCGCCGCGCCGAGCGAGAGTGGCTCTTCGCACCTCGTCGCGTGTGTGGCCCACTGCGCTACTGCGGGGACGGCGGCGTGCAGCAGACTGACTTCGACACATCGATGCCTCTCTCTCTCTCGCACTCGTGGGGCGTTCCGACGGAAGAGACAAAGTGACAAAATCAGACGTCTTCAAAGAGGTTGTGGCGCCTCCACACTGGACATGTGGCTCCACTGTCGTGAATCGTAGTGTTCGCTGAATTCACCTGCCTTTAAGAGAACGTTGGCGTTGCTAGGTGCGTTCGCAGTGCTAGCAAAATGGCGCGCGGAGCGCCTTGGCGGCGGAATGCACTTATTCCAAGTTGTTGATTGTGTGCCAGCGCCAGATCTAGCCCTGCGCAGCAACTCTACGCCGTCTCGTATAAACCGGGTTTAAACTCGAAAGTGTCTGTCCATCGCACACAGCAAACCTCGGCAACAACAGCAGTTAATAGACATTGTAGTCGAGCCGCCAAGCCGACCGCTCGGAAAGCGTTTTTCTTCTCGGTGCCCCGCTCGCCCCGCTTCCGTCACGGCCTTGCGACTTAAACGAGGCAGGCGGCCAATTCGCTGCGCTTTCGCCCAAGTTTGTAAAACCTCAACCCCGCCACACTTTCGCTATTTCAATAATGGATGAGCTCCGAATTCCTTTATTAAATAAGGCGCGGTGCTGCGGTTGCTTCCAGAAATCCCATAGCTAGTAAGTCCACGCCCCTCATGAGGCTCTTGGCTCCTCCAAGTTCGCCGCCGCAGCCGAGAGTGTTGGCAAGTTCAACAAGAATGCGGCCGCGCGGCCCAGCCCGCCCCGCGCAGCACAGCGCAGCACAGCGCAGCAGAGCCACCCTTCTTCCCTGATACCCCTTTTTGCTCGGCCCGAAATCCTCGCGCACGCATCCCCCCATCCCGACCCGGGGGCTCCTCTCCTCCTGCCTTGCTTAAAAGGGACTCTGATGGCCCCGCGCGCGCATACACACACGCGCACGCACACACACTCAGGCGGTGCAGGCGCCGATAGGCAGAGAGATTCCAGCCACCGCTTGAGGGAAAAAAATGGTGTGAGGTCGGGAAGGTTTGGAGGTTTGCGTGGATATAAGAGAGGCGCGCGGCTCTATTTTCGGTTTTGTTTACATTCGATTTGTCTTGCCCCTCAGCTTTTGCTGTGGAGGAAGGTGGGGTCGAACACACGCACTTCCTTGTAATGTAAATGATCGCTGAGTGTCAAGTCCTCGACAAACTTTGAATTGTGTTTCGCCTCTCGTGTGCAGCAGCACCTCGTGCGTGTGCAGGCCCGGCCACTTGCTCCTCCCCGTGTCTCGTTACGAGACGAGCTGAGGGCCAAAAAGGCGCAACTTTGCCTTGATCCCGCGGTAAACAAGCAGGGCGTTGTCTCGGAGATAGGGCTGCTCGCAAAGTAGTATGACGTCGAGGTACATCAACATGGAGTTAGCACTGAAATACCCTCCGAGAAACTGTGGAGGGAGGGCAGAACCTCAACCTCCTTTTCGTGGCCTGCTCTTCTTCGCGGCAGCAATAATATTTGATGAAAAGATGCTTTTGTTATTTCGCCCTGTCCGCGTGACATCGGGGGACAGTGCCGGAGGCTGCGCTTCAGCCGGTGCCGTCACACGCGCCAAATAAAACGTCTGGAATAATTTTTGTTTTTTAAAGACTGGAAGATGTGTCACTCCGAAAAGTTGTCTAAGCGAGCGTCGCGATGGGCTTTCAAGGTTCCGAGCGGCAAAGCGCCTTGCTGACAAAAATGTCATTGATGACATTGAGCACGCAGTTTTACAGCAAGCACAAACGACAAATGAAGGTGGTGCCTTGCCACCGGAACGGCGTGAATACCATCCGAGGAAACTCACCGCTCACCCCAGAGTCGAACAACTCTGACGTCCAATTGTCGCATCCCCTCACAAATTGGGCCATTCATAGCGAACAGAGTGCGCAGAGTGCACAGAGTGTATCGGCGGCGACAATAAAGGGCAAGACGGTACCTGCCAGTGGCGCTGCGCCGCGCTGCCGGCCCCAGCCCCGCCACTACTTGTCCAATTAAAAGTTGCCGCTGCGGGCGACAGCCCCCTCCCCAATTCTGCGCTGAAACTAGCCCGGCGTCCCCACGCTCCCTTTTTGTAGGAGCATCTCGCGGGCCCCCGCCTTTCAATGCTCCTTTGGTCTTGTAACTTCACCGCACACTCACCCTGTTCGCTCGTCAACTGGTTCATTTAAGAGCAATTTCGACATTTTTTTTGCCAAGCAGCTTATGAAACGGCACAAGTGCCATTTTTTTTCGAAGAGCAAGTCTTGAATGTTTGGTTTTACTTAAACATTTTATTGTCTTTGCTCGTCTTTCTGCAAACCCGAGCGGACTTTGACCTTGATCGTTTCATTAAGTTTGCTACCCACTTGGTATCTGGGAATGAATCTTACTCAAAAACTTACTTGCAGGAGATCAGGTAAAATGACCGTAGAGCAATTGTTTTGATCTTCCAC